CTTTAAATGTACTGCTTGTATTCAGCCCCATTATGGGGATGGAGAACCTGTGGTTCTGCAGCTGTTGCTAGACCACCATTCCCATCACCCTTGACCATTGGCCATGCTGCCTGGGGCTGGTGAGAGTTGGAGTCAGACAACCTCTGGAGAATAATAAATTCCCTTTTTCTGCTCTGCACTATTACACTGGAAAAAAACATACCCATCAGCTTTTTCCTTGTCACAGGTACCCTCCCCTTTCTTAACCTGCATCAACCATCACCAGTCTTCCATATAATTTGACTACAACTTCTATCAGTACCAGCCAGCACAGTTGTAGTCTTAAACATCTGGGGGCACCAGGTTGGCGAAGCCCTCTAGAATTAGGGATGACCCACAAAAACAATTCCCAACCAAGCACTCCCTGATTAAGAACATAAAATTAATAACTTCTCTCTGTGTTCTTTTTTATATATAAAGCCGCGCTATATTAACCGTATACATTTATGTTGATTATAAAAAGTCATTTTCCAAATTGATTTTTTGTCTGAGGAGATTTAAGTGTCTGCAAGAAAAGAACAGGCTGATTTATAATCTACAAGATGCCGAGGTGTAGGGATTAGCACACACATCAGACAGAAATGTGACCTTTACTGTTTGACTAAACCCTACCCCCTCAAAGAAAAACCAAATAAAATAAAATAAAATAGATAACTGCTTCTTTCCATATGTCAAACCAGGAACCCTTAAGTCAAGGGATCTTGTGGCCCTGCAGATGGTGTTGGACTCTAGCACACAACATCCTTGATCCTGACCATTGCTCATGCTAGCTAAAGAGGACAGGAGCTGAATTCAGGCAACCTCTGGAAGTTCACCATCCCTGCCTTAACTCAAAGTGGTTACTCTCTGGGTTAAATATTTTGCCCCTGCACAATTTGTGACTAGGGCATTGGCAGTCATCTAATTGTGGAAATCTTAACTGATTTACTGCATGGCTTTTAGTCAATTAACTATTTAATTAAAATTTGCATGCAAGGAAAACAACTGATCTAAAGCAGGAGTGGCCATCCAGATGTTGGATTCCAACTCCCAACATATCCACCAGTGCTGGATTTACGTATAAGCTAAACAAGCTATAGCTTGAGGCCCCACTCTCTTGGGGGCCCCCAAAAAAATTAAAGGAAAAAAACCTGGATGCACATTTCCAAAATATAAGATAAAAAACAAATAAAATGGCTTTAGATACCTATTAGGTCCATAAATTACCATATAGCATATATTCAGCACAAAAAACAGTGACAATTTGTTGTTGACAAAGGACAGCTGGACATATAAAGGGCCCCATTACGTCCAGTAGCTTAGGGCCTCATCAAACCTAAATCCGGCCCTGCCAGTCACCATGGCCAATAGTCAGGAGGTTGGTGTCAAAGGTACTAGGTTGACTATCACTGATCTAAAGCACTCTGTCTGTCTGTTTCTCTCTCTCTCTCTCTTTCACACACACACACACACACACACACACACCATCCTTTCTGCTGATGCACATCCAGCAAGTATCCTTAGGAGACTCATCCCGTTTTGCATGGGGTAGAAAGAGGAATACATATTTTAAGTTCATGCTCATTAGGTGTTTGGTTGTTTGTTAAAAGTTGATTCTAGTATACAAATTATTCCTTTAAAAAAAAATCAGCCTGGTTAATTGAAGTCCTTTTTCAGCTGATCAATAGATTTCATAATTGGTTAATCTAACCAGTTAATTGATTAAGCATTGCACCATAAGCCATATACTGTGGCCTCTCATATGCTTTTGAAATCCATTTTCCCCCAGTCCTTGGCAGGCATAAAATTCAGGAGGTTGCTAGGTAGATTTTATGGACTGGCCTAGATGGCAGATGGCATTCATTCTGACACGTCACAAATTGTGAAGGTCTGCTTTAAGGTTACATGAGAACTATGAACATCAGAAGTAATCGTATGTCAAGTCCATCCAGCTCAGTATTGTCTACTGGCTTGCAGCGGGTTTCTAAGGTTTCAGATGTGAGTCCTCCTGAACCTTACCTGGAGATGATGGGGATTGAACCTGGGACAACCTGCATGCCAAACATGGGATCTACCACAAGGCTTTTCCCCTTTCCCTGATGGATTTTGTTTTGTTACGGCAACATTGTAGTAAGAAAACCTGCAGTGGCTGGTGAAATATCTATTAACATTATATTAGCCTTCACCAATCCGGTGCCTCTCTCCCACCACCCGACATTTCGGACTGCAACTGCCATCAGCCCCATGCTGGTTAGAGTTGATGTGAGTTGTAGTCTAAAACATCTGGAGGGCAAAGGCTGCAGTACATGAAACAGGAGCTCAGTTGGGTCTAGACTGAACAACTCTACTCCACAGGATCTCTCCTAATAACAACCACACACATACTGAATTATAAGAAATTGCATCTAGTGAAGATATATATATATTCCCAGCAGCTTTCCTACAACTCAGAAATTGCTTTCCTGTGGAAGCTCATCTGAGTATATTTCGGAAATAATGGTTTTTTGTGTGTTTTTTAAGGACATTATTTCACTTTTCTCTTACGACTGCCAGTAGAAACAATAAAGAGAAAGGGATAAATGAGGACAAGGATTACATAAACCCTTATGTGGAAAAAAAATCAAATAATAATTATTTTGTTTTGAAAAACACTCTTCATTTAACAATAAGATTGCAACTCAGGTGTCAAGACTCGCTTAAGAAATCAGAACAAGCAGTACTTATATAACCATCCATATACCCTGCATAATAACAGAGAACTCCCTTAATAAGTGAACAAATTATTATTTTGCTAAACAAAATTAATAAGTTTAGGATTTAAGTTCTGATGGTATAAAAACAATAACCAATAAAATAGAAAAAATACAGGGTGTGTACCTACCATCTACTCTCCCCCCACTCTGCCACCAAGTACTCCTATGTGTGCTGGCTTGCTCCATGGCAGGTCAGAAATTCAACGGGTAAATCTTTTTATGGCATTGAAATGCCAGGATAGTGGTTAACATTATCTGTTGATTTTTTTCATCTAGTAGAGCACCTGTTGTTGTTTTTTTAAAAAAAGACAGGGAGAAGCTGACAACCATACAGCCAGTAGGGCTTTGAAGGCTGGGACAAGGGTAAAATCTGATTCAGTTCACATTTAAAAGTGAACCTACCTAATTTGCAGTTTCTGAAACTACACACAAACCAAAATGCAGCCATCATTTGGAATTCTCGCTTCTCTGAATTTTACACCGCAGTTATCCAGCTAAGTAATGTGTGCAAAAATGCACGTACCAGGGTAAAATGTGCATTAAAATACTGTTACAAACATTATTCTGTGTATTTTATAGTTTATTGAAAACAACATCCACAAGTCATTATATTTAGGGGTGGGGGGAACTGCTTTGCAAAAATGCGTATATTAGGCAGAATTGCATACAAAAATGTGTTCATTAGGAGTAATTCATGTTAGAATGCTGAATGAATTTTCACGAGGACTTTAAAAAATAATCTTAACTAGTGTGGAATTGTGAAGAAGTGAACCCTAAGATTGGAAAAACGAGAGACACAGAAATTGCCCAGGGAGCTTGAGCTCCAGGACCTCTTTCGCTTGTCGTTTTTTTTAGTTAAAATGCTGCTGCTGTTACATTTTCAGGAGGACTTTTAAAAAAGTATATGCAAGCGTCTGCTAGGGGCCTGTGCCTTAAGCCCTTTAAATACTTCACAATAACTTTTCAGACAGCTTTTCCCCCCCTCCTCCTCGGCAGCACTGCTTTCCAGGAAAGGTAATCTTCAAGAGCTCAGGTGTTAGTCTCAAGAGTAATCAAGCAGGTTATTCACCTGCCACCCTTTCCAAGAACTTGCGGCATTAAGGGACTGTAGCGCTTTGCGCTCTTGATAGCTGTTTCATTTTGAAGTCTTTCCCTTTACAACCGGAGAAAAGAGAACTTCGCTTAAAAGCAAGTAAGGAGGCTTCTTTACAATGCAGGCTTATTTTACTCAGTCGCAACTATCAACCATCCTTTCCCTCTGTTTCCTGCCTGGGATCCAAACTGTAGCTCAGGAGGATTGCCAGCTTCTTTACTGGCGCGTGCTCTTCTGCTTCTTAGAACCATCTTGCATTCTATATGGAGGGAGCGAAGTTGCACCTGCTAAAACATCCAAACATCCTCTCTCTGTTGCGCGGTTCTAAAAGGCATAGGAGCCCCCGGCATTTGAGCCACGTTCCCTGTCCAACCTTATACGTACATGCATGCTTCGAGTTTTCCGTAGAAATTACTTTCCAGTATGTGTGCTCAGGATCGGGTCTTTTTTCTTTTGTGCCGGGAGCTGCGTGTCTATGCGCTTACTTGAGAGTAAGTTCTAATTGGGCTCTCTGTGGAACTTTCTTCAGCGTAAACCGTGTATTAGATCGGCACGGCAAGGCTGCCATCCGAAGCATATATACCTGGCAGGAAGTCTCATCGGAATCTATGGGACTTACTTTCCAGAGCAAATAAATACGTGCATCGGATCGGGCTGCAAGATTCCCTTTCAAAAGCGGGCAGAGGGGGAGGGGAGGAGGGGGGGATATGTTAATTTCATTCCTGTAGAAGAGAAGCCTTCCTACCAACCCTTTACAGCTGCAATTCTATGCCCACTTACAAGAGAATAATCCCATTGACCGCAGTGGGTTTACTTCTGAGAAAGCACGCCTGGAATGGTCGCGTAAGGGCCGTTTCCTCAGAAGTAAACTCCAGCGTTTTCCGCGCGAGGTTGTCTCCGGCAGGTGTGCGGGTGGCACAGGCAGGCTTCCCTGAGCTTGGCGATTCATTGAATTCAGTAGGGGTTTGCTTCTTCTGAGCAAAACATGCCCAGGGATCGGGCTGTCTCAGGCTGGACTAACAACAACGACAAAAATATTACTTGAACTTGTAATAATAGCAGCACAGATTTTGTAAAGAAGGACGAGGCGAAAGAGGAAGGGGGAGAGAATAACCCCACCGCCCTCCTTCTCTCAGGTTGCTCGCAAGTCGTTCCTCTTTAAAGACTACTCCAGTCGGCGTGTCAGTCAGTCCAGGCAGCGGCTGTGGGAGGAGCTCCTCGGGAGGAGGCTGGCGAGGCTGAGAGAGCCAGGGAATGGAGCGGAGAAGAGCGCGTACATGAGCGAAGAGGAGGTAGGCGCCGGGAGAGCGAGCGAGGCTGAGCAACTAAACTCCATCTCAGCCTTAGCAGCAGAAGCAGCAGCCGCCGCCGCCGCCGCCGCTATTGCTGCCAACCCAGAGAACGCTTCGCCGGTGTGTAGGAAGAGGGCTTCGGCAAGAGAAGAAGGCAGGCGAGAGCATCGGGAGGCAGATAAAGCTAGCCCCCGAAACTGCTTAAGCGCGCAAGTTCGTCTCTCTTATTTCCCCGCCGAACTCTTAAGGAATGAAAGCTTTTCAGACAGATCTCGTCCTCCTCTGCTTCTTCCTCTTCAGTCAAGGTAGGACCTATCTATATATGTATCTCTCTCTCTCTCTCTCTCTCTCTCTCTCTCTCTCTCTCTTTTTAACTTTCCAGGTGGGTTGGGGATGATGGTGGTGGTGGTGGTGGTGAAGGCATTTGCGGCCAGTGTGTCTCTCGCAGCTGGGCAAAAGGAGGAGGAGGAAGGAACTCCGATGACTTTTGTTTTCGGAGCTGGTTTCCTCATCCCCCTGCTATTCCTCTCCAGCCCCCAACCGCCGCTTCTTCTTGGCGTATCGCTGTTTCAGTTGGAAGTGAAGGGTTTAAGCAGCTGGTGTATGTTTTTTGTAAATCTACCCCCACCAAAAAGAAAAACGGGGGGATGGACGGGCGGAATGAGTTTGCTATTGTTATGCTTCAGCTACTGTTCGGGAGGGGAGATCTTGGCGTGTATTTATTATTATTATTATTAAAAAAGCTTCCAAATGTTTCTGTTCCTCCATATATAGCCAAACCAGGAGGGGGTGCTTTTTTTTTTTTGCTTCTGGGGAGTAGGACTGAAGAGGAGGTGATGATGAGTTTTTAAAATGATGATGATGAGAGGATGATAGGCAGTCCGAGCCTGTGCGCGTTTACTCGGAAGTAAGTGCCGCTTAGACCCTCCCAGCAAGCGTGCATAGCGGCGCAGCGGGAAGGTGCGTTACCATTCTCTCTTAGGCATTAGTAATTATAGTCTCCTGATTGTTTCTGTTCAGGTATCTGTGTCCATTGGATACATAAAGGCTGCACACAGAACAGTCGTGCGTTTTTTCCTGGGGTGTCACGTTGACTTGAATTTGACTTGTCTGCTTCTACAGGAGAGGGAGCAGTAGGTACACCCAGTGAGATGATTTGGGTTTGAAGTCCATTATGTCCTACGTTGAAAGACTGTGCAGACAACTGATGGACAGATGCTTTTTTCCTTTAGGGTCACCTACATGCATTGCATCTTTCCACAGCAACTGTTCCTGCATTTTTATAGATGTCTGGAGAATAGACCCATAAATTATTCTGGGTTATTATAATGTTGTTCATGGCTGCAGGCAAAAGCACTCACCTGTGGAATAAGGGGAGTGAAGATAACTCAGCTTTCCATGTGCCCTGGAAACACCCACCATCACCTTGTGCCAAAGCTGAGTGCCATCTGTGTTTTGCTCACCCACCATCCCAGCATAGCTCTTGGGGACCAGTGTGTGTGCTTTGTATTTCAAACTGAACACAACAGGTCCATCTGTTGATTAAATTAAGAAGAAAAGTTAGTGCTTTGGTGCTTAATCGAGAAATTGCTTTTGTACCCCATCACATTCTCTTTTTCTGAAAGCATGAGTCTGTGCAGCTATCAGTTTGTTTACAACTGCTCTAGTTTTGCTGCCTATGTTGTATCATAGTGCCTTTTCTCCATGCTGCTTCTCTTGCACTTAAAACAAAGAATTACTAAATTGATAAGCCCGCACCAAAGCTGATGCTTTCTTTGTAGTGGAGATTCAGGTCCTTTTGCAATATAGAACACTTCCCCCCCTCCTTTAAAAGAACTAGCAGTTTCCCTTCATACCCTTAGATACCATTGGGAATGGATATGTAGGGGAGACTGGAAGTTTGAGTTTCTTTTTTCCACCTTATTTCTTCTTTTTTAAAAAAGTTGGTGCTCTGTTAAACTAAAGATGATGGTATTTAAAAGCAGCTGCTTTGTTCAGCATGGTTGGATACGATTCTCCTGTCCAGTGTGCCTCTGATAGCTCCTTAGTGTCTGGCGAGGTGATGGCAAAGTCTCTTTTTCTCAGAGCTGCTACTGCTCCTTCCTGTAGAAGAACCTAATTTCATTGGTGTGCAGCTAGGTTTGATGGCATGAAACTGGGTTACTAGCCCACTGGAGTGTAGCTGGCTTCGATACAATTATTACATCACTGCTTAGATCAGCTTGGTGGCTAATACCAAGCTGGCACTTGAAGCCTACTTTAAAGGAGTTAGTGGGATGAGATGTGTTCAGAAAGCTTTCTCCTTTCAGCTGCTGCATACAGTCCCTATTGATGTTCATATTGACTTCTGTCCATAAGTAGACGTGTATCCGTAAAGGCACTATGTTTCAACACTTAGGTGGTGATGAAAATATGGATGTAATTTCCTCCTCTTACTTGCCTTGCATTATGAAGTGACTCCCACAATGTCACAACAGTGGCACTTCAGTTGTTTGGTGTCCTGCTCAAACTATATGTGGCTTTTTGTGAGTCCTATGGGATCTTGTTAGAATTTCAGAGGTCTCGATTAACAAATTGCTTGGAAACAAGTACGTTTCTAGTCCTTGTAGCTACATGACAAGCTCCTAAGGTCTTGTCCCATGTGAAGATCATCCAGTATCTTGCTGGCAAACACAAACACACACATACACACAGCAGCTTGCTTCAAGAGTATGCAATTCAATGTTTGAGAGTCTGGCCTGAAGCCAAATAGGTTTCCCTTCAGATCTGCAAGGGACTATTGTGTGCACACAAGAGATGTGGATAGAAGTACAACATGCAAAATGTAGTGGAGGTTCTTTATGTAGGTGTTTGAGAGGTCTGCATGATGGCTATCCTGCAGCATCTTACACTTGGCCAAACAAGTGCACCTGCTCATTTCTTTGCATTTGTGGGATGTTACGCTAGGAGAGAGTATGTCTGGTGTGTGTGTGGGGGGGGGAGAAACTTGGCACATAGCCCCGACCCATATTGTGGGAGTCTCTAGTCCTTTATTATTATAATTGCTTCCTAAGCATGTTATACTTTTGTGCATTCTCAGCTCTGGCGAAACAGGTATCGGTTTGACCTGTCTCAGCTGGCGTTTCACTATGTAAAGTGCAGCTACCTTTTTGGAGAAGAGCCTGCTAATACATTTCTGCTTCCCCGCCGAGCCTTTTTAAAGCCTCTTAGCAGAATAATTTTCAGACATGCTCTTCAAAGCCAGATTTCAATCGTATCTACAACATGTAAATGTCCAGTGGCAAATCCACTGTGCCAACTTCCTGGTCTCACTGCCTTTCCGCCCCCCTGCGCCTATGGTCTTAAGAGAGGTTATGAAATAATTAAGGATATGATCTCTAAAGACTCATATTTAAAATGTACTGATGTGAACAGTCAGGCTCTGGCTTCTCTTAAGATGGCACAGGGAAAGAAACCTCTTCTCTGTGACTTTGTGTGGTGTGTTGGGAGGTGGGGTTCTTGTCTCTATAGCTGGCAATGAGAAAACCAGGTCCTGGCTCAGAAATTTGACAGCTGCCAGTGTTGCGTATATTTGGTCTCTGTGTGTTCCTCCCTCCTTTCCTGCTGGTTGTTTTTCCTTGTGCTGCTGCTTTCCCTAAGCTGTCAGGGCTATAGTGCTTCACAAAAACTGGTATAATGTCACAAGGCAATTTACCTCCTGCTAGCAAGAGGCATCAACCGTGTGCCTTGGTGGAAAGAGAAGTGACCCTGTCATAGAAAAAAGCATGAAGTTCTTGTTTGTGTATGTGTGTGTTTGCTGTAGGGCCCCCCCCCCATTGCCCTCTTATTTATCTCATTCTCATTCCTTGGTATGAAAGTATTTTTAGGATGGGAACAACAAAAACAGAGAGGCCCCCTGCTGTCTGTCAGATCTGGAGTGTGGTGACGTCCGGTCACAGCTGAACTACATCCTCCTTGTGCCCTTGAGTAGAACTTTGCTGTCACACACACAGGGAGCCCCTGGCACTGCTGTGGTTGATCCTTTGGGGGGTTTTCTTCTGTGACTCATGACTCTAACTCTGATAAAACGAGCATACTTGCGGGGGGGGGGGCATGGAGTAGCATTTTTCCAGTTCCACTTGAACACCAGAGAAAACAACAACCATATATTGAGAGTTGGTGGCATGGAGGTCTAAATCACACCAAGTTGCAAAACAAAGGAATTCGTATAGGCATAGGTACATCACGTTCATGTCAGATATTATGGGCTGTGGTTTACCATAAGGACCTCATTATAGGTCCATTTCAGTGGTGTCTCCAGGTTTTGGAAGCCTACTACCCTGGGTGGGTTCACCACCTCCTCCCTGCTGTTGCCTCTGCCTATTCCAGAGGTAGCCATTGCCATGCCCTCCAGATGTTGATAGGCTCCTAACTCCCATCATCCTCAGAGAGCATGGCCAATGGTCAGGGATGATGGGAATTACAGTCTAACAATAGCTGCACTAAATATTCCTAGCTTATTCATTTGCCATATCTCTTGGGGCCAATCTCCACAGGGGGAGAGGGCAGGGGAGCAAAGTTTCCTGTTGCTTGCTCCTGCCACCATTCACCTTTGAAGATTTAAGAATCCCCAAAGGACAAAGGAATGGTCTACTAAGCAACTGATCAGGGATCAGGATGGAAGAAAGAGCCACTTCTCACAAGAACTGTGATACATGCCTTTTTTGTTTCTCTATAAGTTGGAGTGGAGCATGGCCCTTCAATTAAGCTCTGATTATGCAGGACTTAAAGCCTACATTAAGAGCCTGATGTTTCTTAGGACTTCCTTGATAATGCTGAAGTGAAGCTGGGAGCGTCAGCTTTACAGAGTTCTTATTCCTTAGCCTGCTGTCTTTGTGTTTGATACTTGGTGAGGAGGGTGCTGCAGGTCTTATAAAGTATTTTCTTTTAGTCCTTAATGGAAGACGTGCTTCCAGAAGGAATCAAATCCCCAGCGCAAAAGAGGGGATTCATTTTCGCAGTATCTGCATACTTACATCAAGTCACAGTAAGTGTAACTAAATCAAAGAGACAATGTTTTGACCCTTTTCCAGGTTTTCATATGGGAAAACTCCAGTCTCCTGTGTAGGGGAAAGTTCTAAGAATTGCAGGATAGGGGTTACATGTATGTACTGAGCATAAAAGAGTTCAAAAAGAGAAGTGATGCTAATGCTTCTCACCCACCAACCCCCATAACTCCATGGCGGTCAATTTTTGCTGCGTGTACTGTGTTACTACAATGGAATTTCCTACAGCAAATACATGAAAGAGTGAATTGCAGCCCTGA